ACATAAGATCACAAGACACTGAAGTTAAAGGTCAAAGACATTTTAAAGGAACTACAGACCAATTTCGTTCATGGACATAGACGCAAAAATTCCAAGAATGAGTTAGGCGTGGTGGTCTGTGCTTGTAATCACAGCTATTTGGCAGGCTGAAGCAGGAGAACTGCCAAGTTTCTGGCCAACCTGGGCAACACAGCAAGACTTTGCCTCAAAAACAAACAAAATAAAATAAAAATATAAAGAATGTATGCCATAACAAGTCTATAAGGCTATTAAACAAAGAAGAATCTAAGCCAGCATATAAGAGTTGGGGTGTACCTCAGTGGTAGAGTGCTTACCTAGTTATGCTTAGGCCCTGGGTTTGTTCTGAAGCACCACCAAAAAAATTAAAATGAAAAGTGCCAAACAAAATTTTATCAAGTCAATCCAATAGTATTTTATAAAGACACTATATCATGACAAAGTAGGGTTTATTCTAGGAATGCAAAGTTAGTTTAACATTCAAAAACCAATGTATCATGAGAAAAAAGAGGAAACTCATATAATCATTTCAATAGATTCAGAAAAAGCATTTTACAAAATCTATTTTGTATACACTCTTAGCAAAGATGGAATAGAAGCCTCCATATTGTTTCCCAGAGTGGTTGTCCTAGCTTACATTCCCACTAGCAGTGTATGAGGGTTCCTTTTCCCCTACATTCTCACCAATATTTGTTGGTGGTGGTGTTTTTGATGATAGCTATTCTAACAGGAGTAAGGTGGAATCTTAGTGTGGTTTTGATTTGAACATCATCTTAAGTGAAGTTAGCCAGGCTCAGAAAACCAAAAATCATGTTCATATGCGGACTTTAGACCTAACACAAATGCAGTAATATTATTGGATATGGGTCACACACAAGGGGAGAACACACACCTGAGGAATAGGGAAAGATAGAAAACCCAAAACTTGAAAGTGTTTGATGTGTCCACTGTAGGGGAATTAAGATAGTAATCTTAAAATGACAGAGGTCAATATGGGAAGGTGACTGGGAAGTGGTGAAGAGGTCAGGTAGAGATGAACCAACTGGGTTGTAATACACTTGTGCATGGAAGCAATGCTAGGAATCTCTCTGTGTAGCTATCCTTATCTCAACTGCAAAAACACTTTGTCTTTCTTATTACTGCTTATGTCTTCTTGTCAACAAAATTGGAGAAGAGGGCAGAACAGGTTCTGCCTGGAAGTGAGGGGGGCAAGGGGCAGGGGGGAGAAATGGCCCAAACAATGTATGCACATATGAACAAACAAAAATAAATAAATAAATAAAAAGGATTACAAAGGAATTTCCTCAGCCTGATAAAAGGCATATGCAAAAACTTACACTAACATCATCCTTAATGCTTTCCCCTTTAGAATAGAAGTGGTCTGTTCACCACTTCTATTCAAATTTATACTGGAGGCTGTAATCTGTTGAATAGCAGGGAAAATAGAAAAAATACATCCAGATAGGCAAGAAGTAAAAGTGCCTTAATTCACAGACAACATGCTCATTTCATCAGAAAATCACATGGAATCTTCAGAAAAAGCATAACAAAACCAAAAATCCTTACCAGAACAATGAGGCTAGCAAGGCTGAAGAATTCATGATCATTATGAGAAGAACTATGTTTCTGTACACTGGCAATGAACTGAAAATTAAATTTACAAGAACAGTGCCATGCACAGATAATAACTGAGAAACATACTGTGCTTGGGGCACAATACCGTTTTGTCAGCAACTTAATGCAATCCTGATCAAAATTTTAGTAGATCTTTTTTAGAAATTAACAGTCTGATTATAAAATTCACATGGAATTTCAGTCCTCAAAATAGCCAAAACAAAAGACCGCAGTTGAAGGACTAAAACTATTTGACTTCAAGACTTATTATAAAGCTATAACAATTAAAACAGTATAGTACTGGCATTTAAGACAAAAAAATTAATGGTTAGAACAGAGTCCAGAAATAGACTCAAACATCTATGGACAATTGATATTTGACCAAAAAGCAAAAGTAATTACAAAAGGATAGTTATTTTAACCAATGGTTTAGGAACAATCACATATAATATTCAAAAAAAAAAAAAGGAACTTTGATCTATACCTTGTACCATATTACACAAAATTAACTCAGGAGGATAACTTGAGCCCAGGAGTTTGGAGCTAGTCTGGCAATAAAATAAGACCTCATTTCTTGAAAAACAAAAACAAGGGCTGGTGGCATTGATCAAGGGATAGAGTGCCTGCCTAGCAAGGCCCTAAACTGAAACACTAGTACTGCCAAAAAAATTTACAAAACAAAAAACAAGCTGGGTACTGGTGGCTCAACGCCTGTAATCCCAGCTACCTGGGAGGTTGAGATAGAGAATCACAGTTCAAGGCCAGGCTGGACAACTAATTCTCAAGACACTTTCACCAAAATAACCAGAGCACTAGAGGTGTGGCTCAAGCAGTAAAGCACCTGCCTAGTTGGCAAGTGTGAACCCTTGAATTCAAAGTCCATTCCCACTGGAAAAAAAATACATAAAGTATATATATTACATATTATATATAAGACATATATATATATATATATATATATATATATATATACACACACACACACACACACACATACATACACATACATATAACTTCTAGAAGAAAACACAGGTGAGAGAATATGTGATCTTGGGTTACCCAAAGCACAATCTATACAAGAACTGAAAATGGCATGTCATCAAAATTTAAAACTTCTTTTCTTCTTCAAAAGATACTTTTAAGAGAATGATAAACTACTAGGAAAGAAAACTAAAAATCATGTCCCTGAGAAAGGCTTTATATCCCAAATATATAAAGAACTCTCAAAACACAGTAAGAAAACAACCGAAGGCTAGGGACGTAGCTCAATGGTACAGTGCTTGCATAGCATGTGCAATGCCATGGGTCAATCCATAGCACTGAAGAAAAAAAGAAAAGCAAACCACCTAAACTTTTTTAAAAAATCAAAGACAACACAGGATAGTAAATAAACATGATATAAGATACTCAACATTGGTAGGGAAATGCAAATTGAAACCACACATTAGCAATAGTTATTAAAATGGCTAAAATTTTAAAAAGCTATCATACTAAGTGTTGGCAAGGATGTAGAATTTCATATACTTCCAGTGGAAATGTGAAAAGGCCAGTCTGGAAGTCAGTTTGGCAATGAAACATAACACTTATTATATAATCTAGCCATTCCATTCCTAGGTATTTGGCCAAAAGAAATGAAAGTTTACATCAATGCAAAGGCTTAACCATAAATGCTTATACCATTACCTAGCAACAGGTGAGTGAACTGTGAAACAGCCAACTGATGAAAAATTACTAGACAACAAAAATGAATGAACTATGAATACATGCTAAACATGACAACTCTCAAAATAATTATGCCAAGTGAAATAATCCACACAAAGAGAGTTCATACAGGCCAAGTGAGATGGCTTTCATCTGTAATCCCAGCTACTCTGGAGGCAGAGACTGGGAGGAACACAGTTCAAGGCCAGTCCAGGCAAAAGTTTAGCAAGATTCCTTTTCAATAAACCAAGCTAGGTGTGGTGATCCAAGCCTGTAATCTCAGCTATGAGGGAGGCTTAAGTAGGAAGACAAAGGTCCAGGCTGGCCAGGACAAAAATGCAGAACACTATGTGAAAAATAACTAAAGCAAAAAGGGCTAGGGTGTGGCTGAAGTGGTAAAGCAGCTGCCTGGCTGAATTCAGGGACCTGAATTCAACCCCTGCCCCCATAAAAGAGTATAAGAATACACACTGAATGATTCCATTTCTCTAAAATTCTTTTTTTGTCCCCTCCTGTGGTACTAGGGATTGAAATCAAGGTCTTGCACTTAAACCATGCCCCCAGATTAGATTTCTCTAATCCACAGTGGCTGTCTGGCTCAGGTGGAGGGGGATGACACAGATGATTATTTTTTTAAATTTTGGTGACAATTTCACAGGATATACATATGTCAAAATTTATCAAATTGTATAATCAAGCTTATGTATATAGTTTATTATGTCACTTATACACCAAGAAACCTGGAAAAGCCAGGCACTGGTGGCTCATATCTGTAATTCTAGCTACTTGGGAGGCTGAGATCGAGAGGATCACGGTTCAAGACCAGTGATAGTTTGAAAGACACCCCATCTCCAAAATAACGGGAGCAAAATGTGCTGGAGGTGTGGCTCAAGCAGTAAAGGGCCTGCTTTGCACACATAAGCCCTGAGTTCAAATTCCAGTTCCACTTCCGGGGGTGGGGAGGAGAGGGGAACCCATTTAAAGTGATCATTGTTATTATACTTAAACCCAATGGCATCATATACCATGCTGGGCACAAAAGGGTACTGTTCCTTATATTCTTTTGTGGATGATGCTCCAAGAGCTTCTGAAAATAACATAGTCAAGAGCCAAAAAGAAACCAGAGTTATATGTATTCCTAGTAAAGTAAACAACTAGTCCATTTCATACTCATTCTGAGAAAAGGATACATTGCCTCCATGGATATATTTATGAAAAGACTTCCCACTCTAAACCATAAATCAGAGACCCATGCTGGATTAAATTATTCTACACTTTAACAAAAGGGTACTATTTAAAGAGCTGCATTAAAAATGATACAACTGGAGTCTAGCTCATTAGTAGAGTGTTTGCCCAGCATGCTCTGGATTCAATCCCCAGCACCACGAAATAAAAAAAAAATAAGAATGGTAGTATTATTTTCCTTAAAATTTATGAAATTCAGGAAGGATTTAGGGAATTTACTATATTAAGAAAACGAACTCTCTGAACAGGAAGAAAATATTAGTCTGTTTTAAGACCAACCTCCGCTCAAGAAGACTTAATTTTGATATCAAGGAGCCAAAAACTAGGAAATAAAAATTCTTAACATATGTAAATATTTAAACTTTTGACTATACGGTAGTTTGTATGATAATTGGGAAGAGAAATGTTAGACAATCACTCACCTGTTTTGTTCCTCCAGTTTAGCCAGGAGTTCTAAGTCGTCTGGACTCAACTGTGATGGGGAAGATGGTGAAAGGGCTGGTGTTGACAGTGTGGTAGATGAGGATGTAGTGTGTAATGAAGCAGATGGACTTGCCACCTGACTGGCCATCTGACTGACTGTATGCGATACTGTGTTCTTCACCCATGAGAGAGTAGAGCTCAACTTTTCTGCAACCTTGTCTGTCGCCACCTAAGGATAAGAATAAAAGTGTATATTTTTTAATTTCATTGCTTTCATTACCAAAAACTTAATGATCCTGCTAAGTTTTACTTAATATTTATCATCAGAATGTTCTCTTTGAGATGATAAAGGTAAAAACCTGTTTTACAACCATTAACCTCACATACAGGTTTTAGAAACTATTTATTTAAAACTACATGTTTGCAGGATGAACAAACCAGAACAGTGTTTTCCAAACAGCAAGTTGAAACCCATAATGAAGTAATAAAATCACCTTAATAGGTAATACCAATGTTAAGGGCGCTCTGTTGCAGCCTGGTTTTTGGGCTTCCAACGGAAAAATCCAAGCAGAGCACATGGATGGGGTAAGGTAGGGTAGCTTTACTGAGAGAAGGGGTCACATGTCCTGCCAGGTGAGGGAAGGGAAGCAAAAAAAAAAAAAAAAAGAGTGCAGGATGGGCACAGGTAGAGTCCATAGGCCAAGAGAGCAAGCTTTTGTTTTACAGGTGCCTTTAAAACCTACCCTACGAGAGGGCAGGCCCAGGAGGTTCCTACCTAATAATGAATGAGTGGGGAGAGCATGGGCAATTCCCAGCCAGGTGAGGGTGGTCTGGACCATCCCCAGGCAACCTACATGAGCTCCAAACTTTTCCTACTTCTAGCCTGCCTCACAAGCACACTTTAAAAATGAAAAAAAAAAAATTCCCAAAGTAAGGATATGTTATCTTATGAAATTTGTCTCACTTAAATATACATTAAAAATATGTACTACATGTGGGTTCAAGTAGTAGAGCACCTGAAAGGCCCTGAATTCAAACCCCAGTACCATATATATACTACATGTATGAATAGGCAGGGTGTAAAAGTATGTTCTTTATTGGGCTTTTAGTCAAAAACCTTTGAAAGTTCAGAAATTAAAACTGCATTAGGTGATTAGGATAGAGAAATCCTGTGCCAGGACTAACAAGTCAACAAAAACCAGGTGTACTTTCCATGAGTAATATGTAATGAGGACCTTAACAATCTACTTTCAAACCACTAAAGATTGTCACAGAATAGGGACTAGCTCTACAGGAACAAAGCTAATGAAAATGGTTCAGTTAACAGAGTCAGAGAGGGTCAGGGTAGAAGTTTCAAATAGGTGGAGTTATTCAGAAATAGAATGGGATGCCCAAAAAGAATTATAAATTCTCCTACCAAGCACACAAGGCTCTAGGTTTCATTTCCAGTACCCCCCCCAATTTAAATTCCCCCAAAATAGATACATTATAGCAACAATTACAAGAGTCAATAATTAGTTAAAGATGGTTTCTGATGTTAGGTGGGCAGGCAAGACTAGATAAGCCTTTTAAATTCCTCTGTTCTCAACCATGGTGTTACACATCTGTAATCCCAGCCCTCTGGAGGAAGGAGGACCAAGAGTCCCAGCCCAGCCTGGACTACATTGCAAGTTCCAGAATAGCTGGGATGCATACTGAGACCCCCACCTAAAAAATTTTTTCTGGGGCTGGGCATGGTGGCTCAAACCTGTAATCTGAGCAACTTGGAAGATGGAAAAAGGACTATCACACACACAGAAGATGCTACACAACTTACATAAATTCACAACGCTATTAAGACTCATATAGAAAGTCTGATTAGAGTTTTAGGGGGTTTTGGGGGGGGCGGAGATGACAGTGTCTCTATGTTTGAGACCAGGCTGGTCTCAAACTCTGGATCTTCCTGCCTCAACCTTCCAAGTGCTATGACTACAGGTTTGCACCTGATAAGATTCTCTCTCTTTTTGGTGGTACTGAGGTTTGAACTCAGGGCCTCACACTTGCTAGACAGGTGCTCTACTACTTGAGACATGCCTCCAAGACCTTCTTTGCTTTAGTTATGTTTCAAATAAAGTCTCACATTTTTGCCTGGGCCAGTCTTGGACCACAATCTTCCTACCTGTGCCTCCATGTAGCTGGGATTACAAACAGCCACATACCACCACATGTGGCTTAGTTTGCTGAGATAGGGTCCTACAAACTTTTTGACCAGGCAGACCTTGAACTGTGATCCTCCCAATATCTGCTACCAATGTAGCTGGCATTACAGATGTGTGCCACCACACCTATCTCACTTCCCACCCCAGCAAGATTCTCTATTCTTAGTTCTCAAGAATGAGCAAGACCACAGGTTAGCAAAGCTTGTGGCGACTAGTGATTTCAGTGAGTCAATTTCACCACGGGAAGAAAAAACCGGATGACAAGTACCTTGAGGGATATCAGACAAACAAAGAAAAAGGAGCTGCAAAATATTCCCATTCACATCACAATGACCTTTATTTTTGAGATTTATCCACACAGACTGATTCCTAATGGTTGGTCAGCATTTTACTATAGGACAAATCTGAATTTCCAGAAAAGGACTTTAAACATTTTAGACAGTAACTTCATTTGATTTTATAGAAAGAAAAGAAGGAAGGAAGGAAGGAAGGAAGGAAGGAAAGACTGAAGGATGGAAGGAAGGGAAGGGAGATGGGGAGAGGGAGAGAGAAGCCTAGATAACTGGGCTATTGGATTAATTTTTTTTATTGTTAGGTTACCTTGTTTTATAGTATCAAGGCTGATTCAACAATTCAGCATTTTCATTTTTAGGATTTCTCACATCACTTCATATTAACTCACTAATACTCATTCCTAATTCTGTAAATTGGCAATGTTTCCATTTTAGAGATAAGAAATCCAATATTAAGTTTATTGAGAGTTATGTCTTACCTCAAAATAGTTCCGACCTAAACATACGATCTAAAACTATAAAGTGAGGAAAGTGACAATAATTTGGGCAATGATTCCTTAGCTGTGAAACCAAAAGCAGAGGCAACAGAAAACAAATGATAAACTGAACTGCCTCAAAATGAAAAACGGTTGTGCATCAAGGGTTTTAAAAAGGCAACCCACAGACTAGGAGAAAACATTTGTAATTCATGTAGCTGATAAGGGAGTAATATCTAGAATAAAGAATCCTACAATTCAACAACAAAACACAAATTAAAAATGGGAAAAAACAAAAGCAAAAAACAGAGAAGGGAGATTAAAATAATCTCAGTTTGATATAAACTAGAGAAGAATTTCATAGCAAAGGAAACAATCAACAGAATGAACAATCTACAGAATTGGAAAAAACATTTGTAAACTATTCATCTGACAAAGGATACCCAGAAGACATAAGAAACAAAGTAATTCAACAACAACAAAAATATTCCAATTTAAAAATGAACAATGAGGTTGGGATATACCTCACTGGTAGAGCACTTGCCAGCCTACACAAGGCCCTGGGTTCAGTCTCCAGCACTGCAAACAAAATAAAAATTTTTTAAATGGACAAATGATCTGAATAAACACTTCTCAAGAAATAAAAATTTCCAAAAAGTATATGAAAAAATGTTTGACATCACTAATCATTAGAGAAATGCAAATCAAAACCACAATAAGGTCAATCATCTTACTCTAGTCAGAACAGCTATTATAAAAAAGAAAAAATAAATGTTGATGAGGATGCCGAGGAAAGGGACCTCTTAACCCACCACTAGTGAGAATGTAAGTTAGTACAGCCACTATAAAGAACAGTATGGAGGTTTCTCAAAAAAACTAAAAATATTCTGGGTGAGGTGGCTAATACCTACAATCCTAGCTACTTGGGAGGCTGAGATCTGGAGGATCTCAGAGGCCAGCTGGGGCACATCATCTTCAAAACAACCAGAGCAAAATGAACTGCAGGTGTGGCTAAAGTGAGAGAGTACCTGCTTTGCAAGCACAAAGTCCTGAGTTCAAACCCCAGTCCCACCAAATAGATAAACAGAGCTAAAAATAGCTCTACCATATGATCTAGCTATCCCACTTCTGAATATAAAACCAAAGGATATTAAATCAGCATATAAAAGAAATACTGCACTCCCATATTTATTGCAGGGCTATTCACAATAGTAGAAAGTGGAATAGTAATTACTAGAGATTAGGAAGGAGAGATTGGGTAACAGGTACCAAAGTTAAGTAGGAGGAATAACTTCTCGTGCTCTGCAGGACAGGAGGGTGACTCTAAATCACAATAACCTATTATTTATTTTATGACGAATTAGAAGAGCTAGAAGGCTCCAAGCAGGGAAATGACAAAGAGATACAAATGCTGTTAAACCTGATTTGCTCAGTTCAGATTTTATACATGTATTGAAACATCAATAACACATACATAACATGTTAAAGAAAAAATAAAATTTAAGTGTTTAAAGGACTTGAACAGACATTTCTCCAAAGAATAAATACAAATGACCATATGAAAAAGATGCTCAACATTACTAATCATTAATAAAATTCAAATCAAAACTACCATGAAATACAATTCAGGGTGGCTATTATCAGAAAACAAAATAACAATACTATTTTGGCAATGGCTGATGGAAGTACAAATGTTACAGCTGCTGTGGAAAACAGTATGGCAGGTCCTCAAAAAATTAAAACAGTATTATCAGCAATTCCACTTTTGAGGATCTATCTAAAAACCTGAAAGCAAGCACTGTTCAACCTATCTGTTCAAGATAGCTACACACCTATGTTTATAGCAACACTGTTCACAATACTCAAGAGGAGAAAACTAGCCCAGCTGTCAATGACTCAACCTGTAAATCCTAGCTATTCAGAAAACAAAGAGCTGGACAATCGTGGTTCGAAGCCAGCCTGGACAAATGGTTCCTGAGAACCTACCTCAAAAATACCCAACACAAAAAAGGGCTGGTGGAGTGGCTCAAGTGGCAGAGTGCTTACCTAGCAAGTGTAAGTTCAAACTCCAGTACCGCCAAAAAAAGAAAAGGAGGAAACTTACCCAAGTGTTCACTGATGGATCGATCAATGGATAAACAAAATGTAACAGAAACATACAATGAAATATTATTTGGCCTTAAAAGTATTACTTAGCCTTAAAAACTAATGAAATTCTTTATTTGAAAAAAAGGAATGAAATTCTGTCCATACGGTGGTTGC